CTGCGCGTGTGCGCTTGGCACACACACACACACACACACACAGATCAGGCAATGAATCGATCAACCAATCAATCACACACTCTCACGCACGGGCGCAATCGGCGGCACGAGTGATCGTCGACGACGGTGCAACCAGGACGTGGCCACGTTCATGTCCCCGAAGCCATGTCCGCGGACGCGTCTGCGGACGCGTGATGTCAGTCTCGCCCGCGCGGCAAGGGACTCGACCGCGTTCTGCAGGGACGACCGCCTCGGGCCTGCTGCGGAGGCGGGACATATCGGATCTCGAGGCGCGATTTCATCAGTTGCGTCAAGGTTGTTGTTTTTTTTTTTGGGGGGGGGGGGGGGGGGGGGCAGTTGACGGACGTTAACGTTTAAAATGACGGGTGGTGCGGGCGGTTCGGGGGGCACTGACTTTGTTCCTGCGAGCGATGTGAAGATGAACGAGCTGCGCAGGAAGTCGAGAGTGTGGCGTCATGTGACGCAGGGTCAGAGGTTGGGAATATGGGAGAAGAGGCATGCATGTCTGGCAGGGGAATTTGTTTAAGGCACAGCGCCACTTCACGCAGTTGAAAAGGTGCGTGGCGGCGACGATGGACGTGTTTGTAGACATTTGGAACCACACGGACTACGAGTTCGATCAGCGACATCATCGTGGTATCGTGGCTTACATGAGGGAGCACGATATCGCGGATAGATGAGCAGTGGACGTCCAACGAGGCAGTGGCAGGGGGAGGACGGGTGCGTCACAGTCGCGAGCACAGGAGCGCGATCCTGTGGATGAGGTACAGGAGTTCCTGGATGAGGAGGCCAGGCGAGCTGGGGGTATGGAGGTGGGTGGAGGGACAAGCACAACACCGGATTTGGAGGGGGAGGTGGTGGTCATGACTGCGCGAGGGAGCAGTGCCGCTCACCATCACGAGGGGGACGCATTGGGCCGAGCGGGGAAGAGGCCGGTGGACAGTGGAGCTGAGGGCATGTCGCAGGCGCGCAAGAGACAGCGGCAATCCACTTTGGATGAGGTGTACGATCCAGATGGGCAAGCCGCATTCAGGGACTCCTTTTTGCAGTGGGCCTACGATGCCGGTATACCCTTTGCTGCTTTTAGGAGGCAGTTATGGTATAGGCACAAGAAGGCGTTGGCCGCCATGCTTCGCGGAGTGCGGCCTATCTATCCGTCCTTCAATGACATTGGGGTTGGTATTGATGACCAGCGGGGAAAGGTTGCCGCCGTGTTGAGGGAGGTCCGTGGTTTGTTCGAGTCGGTGGGGGCCACCATTTTGTTGGACGGTAGGCAATTGCGAGACACGAGGCCTATCGTCAACTTCCTCGCGGCCGCCAAGCGCGGCGCCCTCATGTACGCCACCGTCCAGCGAGACGGTTCAGTGCCCGAGACGGCACGGATCGTCTTGAGGAGGTGGAAGGCCATTTCCGGTCTTTCCCTCCGAAGGACGTGTTGGCCATTTGCACGGACTCTGCGTCGAACTATACGTCCGCCGCAAAGCTCCTTACAAAGGACCTCGATCCGCAGATCCGCCGTATCACTTGGCTCCCCTGTGCCACCCACGTGGCAAACTTGATGTTGTCTGACATCGACACAGGGGTTCCTTGGGTTACGGACACCATTGTTAGAGCTCGGGCGTTGGTGCGATTCATTAAATTGCACGCCGCGGCGTATCACCTTTTCAGGATGGAGAGTCGTCGCCGCACGCTTTTGCACCCCGTGGAGACGGGATTCGCGTCCATTTTTTTATGTTTGTGTGTTTGCTCGCCAGGCGTAACGCCTTGGAGGGCATGCTTCATGACGACGAGTGGCACATCATCCCATGGGAGTCGTCGAAGCGTAGACAAGCTCTCTGGGCTCGGCAGGTCATCCGGTGCGCCAATTTCTGGCGCAACGTTCAGCATGCTGTTACTGTCATGACCCCTGTCCACCAGCCGTTGAGGAGATTGGACAGAGGCGGCATGATCATGTCCATGATTTACTCATTGTCGCAGGAGTTGGTGCGGCAGGTGGCTGTTGCTGACGTCCCAGATGACATGCGGGGGCCGTGCGTGGAGGTGGTGCAGATCCGCACCATGCATATGCTTGAGCATGCGCACGCTGCGGCGCACCTGCTCAATCCCCGCAAGCCGTCTCTCCGTTACTACGAGTCCGTCCACAGGACAGCAGCGGACCTCGAGGTCGTTATCGAGTGCGACTCGTTTCTGTTAGTGCAGACAGACAGTGATCCGGCGGGGGATACATACTTGCGAGTGCGTGAGCAGATGCAATCCTTCCACGCCAGGCTCGGCTACACAACAGACAGGGTGACGAGGGATGCCAACGCGGAGGCCTGTGTAGGGGACAAGGAGACGAGCAGGTGCGCGTCATGGTGGGTGGAGCACGACGCATGCTTCTCGGACTTGCAGGAGATCGCTGGCCGTATGATGCACATGTGGACGTCCGCCTCTCCTGCTGAGAGGAATTGGGCAGAGCATGAGCGCATCCACACGGCCAAGCACAACAAGCTCAAGTTCAGGAAGGTCGTGCAGTTAGTTGAGATTGCTACCAACCTCAAACTACTTGGATGTAGCGAGTGGAGTGGGGGGTACGTTCTTCCGTGGGGCCACATGGCGACCCTGGCTGAGGCGCACCCTGAGGAGTATACACACGTCGTGGTTGACGACGAGGACGAGGAGGAGGAGCCTGAGCCAGAGGAGTGGGGAGCCCGACCTCAGTCGGCAGTGCCTGCATACGAGATCGGTGCACAACTTCGTCGATTCCAACAACAGGGTTCTTGTCGTCCGGCGGGAGTTGGTGAGGTTTTCAGTGCCAGAGCCAAGACACTGCATCCTTACGACTATACGCCTCCACCGCCAGCACAGCCGGCGCAGGCATTGGAGCAGCAGTCGGACACGGACGGCGTTGAGGATTTGTCAGTTGGTGTAGATAAGAGTGCCGAGAGACTCTACTACACATGCGGTGGAGGACCAGACGGTTTTCAGTCACAATGCACCTTCATTCGGAAGAGCGAGGACAATTCCTTCCCCGCTACGGATAGTCCGCCATCGAGGGTTTTAGGAGATCAGTGTGGTTGCAGACGCTGGCCAACTCGTCCACGGGTGCTAGACGCGAGGTGTCAGACCACCTGGACTACATTAGAGCAGATGCGCATATGTCGAGCCAGCACACACCCGCCTCGGTACCTCGAGGGGACAGGGAGCAGACGGAGTTATGCACAAGTAACTTTCATAAACTCGAACACGGACTTTCTGGCAGCGGTGTTCTAGGGCCACGGGGGAGAGACAGTGGGGGATGACATCGAGTATCGTCCTACGGAGGGTGGTGTACCGGAGTCGACGGAGGAGCTCCATGCCCGCTTGGATCGAGAGGAGCAGCGATTGGAGCTATTGTAGAGAGAGTGGGCAGGTAGAGACGCGAACCTGGCAGAGCGGCAGCGTACTTGGGACTTGGAGACCGGTGCTGCAGTACCTGATCCGAGCGGGGTGGAGCATCGTGATCCCACAGTCCCGCATCCATTCGCACATGACCCTGTAGAGACTGAGGAGCATGTTGATCCGGCCGTGACGGAGCATGGAGATCCGGCCGTGGCAGAGCATGGAGATCCGACCATGTCCGACATCGTACTTGGATTTTGTGTGGCGGGCACGTTGGAGCCTGATCATGCAGTGCCTGAGAAGGCAGTTCGTACGGAGGGCGATTTTGGCGAGCATCGGGACGGAGACCGTGGACCCAGTGCGGAGGCCGATGATGGGGCGGATACTGCAGGGTGACTTTCAATGTCGCCTAGTGCCGGTCCAGGTCGATCGTCACACGGCCCCATTGGGAATGACGACATGGACCTGTAGGCTGATGACCCGGAGGAGGTCGGAGGCGATATGTCTTTGGCGTTAGTGTTGCGGGATCCTTCACCGGTGGCGCACAACGTTCCGTCGGAGCCTGTCGAGGGAGGAGGCGGTGCCAATGAGGAGGGGGAGGGTGGTATACCACTTGACCTTCCCGACCACGCCAGAGCAGATATGGAGAAGGGGCAGATTACACCGGGGCCACTCGACCATGTACCATGTTGTTACCTGCCTCAGACAAGATACCTGTTAGCTACCACAACAACCTTATTGGTCGGGGCAGCATTGCAATCATACACACAAAACACCTCAAACACCCGCATAGTCGATGCGGGAAAGGGATCGCATACTTTGACGACTCGGATGGTTTAGGAGATGTCCACCCTGACAGGAAAAAAAAAATGTGTGGGTTGTTAAGGACCCTATCTACACATCCCATGCATCTCCGGAACTCCAACACACTTTATCTGATAAGTTGTAGCAATAATCCTACCGAATCAATGAACCACCAGTTAGTAGTGTCCACACTGTGGAACCATTTGAGTCCGTTAGTAACTTCCTTGCATCGTGCCATGACAATTGGGGTAAGGCATTTCAGAACCGAATCAGGCAGTCGAGGTCAGGAACGTAAAGGACGCATCCGTGAGGCACCGGAATGCAAGCTTGTAATACTTATACAAAGTCATAATATGTGGGATCTTCCTTGGGCCCAATGGGACATTGGGTAGTAGGATTGTCAAAGAACGACCAACTTCATCCAGGATGTCACATGGGAGAGAATTGATTACCTCAAAATCGACACTACTGAGTCGATTAAGTGCTAGCTTCCGAATTAGGTGAATGCAAACAAACGAGGGGGTGTTTGCAGACTTGTCAGTCCCTGCAATGAACACACGTTTCGAGAGGAAGGAAATCTCATTGCAGACAGCATAATCATCAAGGGCACATGGAGGGTCTTTGTGCTTCTTAATGATAGAAAAATCCAATTGCTTCCTAAGTTCGTTTGTGACAAACGACAAGGTTTTGGAAATCATCCCATGAGATTGGGAAGAAATTTCACAACCTCCCTCAGTGTCTTCAGAAACTCATGTAACTCGATACTCGGGATACGCAGCTATGTAGGGATGTGATTCAAACCCTGCAACAGCAAGCTCTCCAATTTCGGGAGGGCTACAATTGACGGGTCGAGAAAGAGGATGTGGGTGGAGGGGGATGAGAAAGGTATCTAAAGCGCAAGGGTGATAGAATGACGAGAACCTCTTTGAACAATAAAAATATTTTTCCATCGCCGAGCAAGAATCCAACCATTGATCCAATACAAAGTTGCGAAAAACAGCGGAGGGCTTATACACAACCGATTCCAAAGTGCTCAGATAAGTCCATCCAATTACCACCAAAGCCAAAAGTTTCCTAGCATCTATTGGAAAGAACGACTCAACAACCTCCTCAAGGAATACCCGGAAACGAACATTCTTCATAATTCGACTTGTATAGGTGATATGTACAAAAAAAAACATGTCCGTTGACGGGGTTTTCTGCCATTTCTTCCTCCCGACGGGGTCGCGAGTCACGACACCCTTATATTCCTGCATAGAAGAACAATCCCAACTTAGTTCGCAAACAAGTTTGTCTTTGTCGCATCCCTTCCTCTAGGACTCTTCCTTACTACCCTGCTGGATGTCGATGCTTGGGCCTCATTTTGGGTAGTGATCACACAGCTTGGGGGGGGTGCCCTCAACACAACTTTCAGACGGTGTCCGCGCTGGAGTGGTGAGTAGGTCCTGAATTGCAGGCACCACGTAAAAGGTCAATGTGGTCTGCTGCCCATTCCTTGCCTTCTTTGTAGTAGATCCGGACGCCTGGTCCACCTTCCTCTTTCTTTCATTTGGGGCCTGGAGGTAACGAGATGGAAGGATGAGCTTGGCCATGGTCTTTGGGAATTTGTGCAACATGATTGCTAGATCATAGAGGATGTTCTCTGACTTTCTCGTGGGGTCGAGGATGACACTAAATGTCATACTGACCATGATCCCCTCATGTGCGAAAGGACAACGGAAGCGAGTATGGCGGCACGCCACGTCATCTCAACGAGGTTCCTAAATGCTCTCGTAAGGGCTCTCATGGTAGGGGCCTGGGAATATAGATACTGGTGATCGGACATCAAGTACCAAAGTACATGGTTAAACTACGTAATATTCTTCCCGCAATCCCCCTTGTCCATTTGTACACACTTACATTTGAGATAAGGACAGGCGACATTCCAGATCCGCTTAAGCTCAGCCATAGCGGACTGGACCCTAGGACCCAAAAATCCCCTAATGGCTAGGCTCGAAGGAGTGATTGTGCACTTGGTGGGGTCAAAATCACCAACCACCGGAAGGTTCATGGCGTTTGTGGCCAGGGGGTAGTCCCCCTTGAATAATTCTATGTCCTCCGTGAGTGCTTTCTAATTGCACTTCGTCCTCCCCTCCTCCCCAAGAGACACCAAGAATCGATATGCATTAGAACTGATAGATGAAACATCGTTGAAAGTGTCAAGATCCGATAACATGTCCTCTACACCCCTCGACTGAGCTTCGACCCACCTCGGGGGGACTGTAGGAAGGAATGCATTCCGAGTGTATTTATTCACTCTCACCCTATGGTTGGAAGCAAATGCCTTCGCTTTCTGCCTCCTATTCTCTGCTACGATCATTCTGTGGAAGTTCTTTTCCGCCTCTGTTAGGGGGAGAGGATCGTCCTCATCCTCCTCATCGTCAGATCCATCCAAACCTACTTCTACCATGAGGTCCCTACAAACAAGATTAGCATGGAAATTCGAGTCAGCACGCCAAAGATTGACGAGGACCTTCTCCTTCATGGTGAGATCGTCCCGAATATATAGGTCAACAAGGCCATCCTCCTGTTTCACGTCATGGGGCTAAGTAACCAGACGCTTGGAGAACGTTGTTTCATGGGAAGTGGTCTACAACAGGTCAATCTAGACATTGAAGGCGAGTACAGTGATAAGGGGAGGGGAAGGCGGAGGAACATTCATTGAACGTAACCTTACAAATTCTAGGACTTTACTCGGGGCTATGGAAATCAACACTTGGGCAGGGCAGGGAGGGGATGGGAATGAATCCAGCCACTTCATGCCGTCTCCGAGCAAATCCGAGTACCATCCGTTGTTGAAAGACGAAGGCACCTACCACAGGCACACAACGAACCATGGTAAGAACATACCATCAACCTAATGCCCGTTTCAGAATCCACAGGTAAACAAACCAAGTCCACTCCATAATGTGTGATAAGTTGATTGACCTGTAATCAATAGGAAACAAATACTCAGAAAGGAAGTCGGGGGAGCATGCAGGGACAACAACATGATGAACGATAGTCAGACCCCTTCGACGACAACTATGGGGAAACCCCAATGTGTGTGTTTCTTATTTTACGCGTCGTACCTCCCCGACCGTGTCGCAGCATGTTGCGTCAAAATGTCATGCAATAAAAACGACCCCAACTAAGTGATTTTTGGATTACCACGAAGAATCAACATGGTCACTCCTAATTAGGTTGGATGTGATTGGTCCACGAGGAAAACATGCGCATAAATTGTCTGGGCAACGAGGAAATCAGGGTGGCAAGTAGTTCAAACATGGAGTGTAGCATCCAGATGATACTTCAGATTACTGGAAAGGCAATCGAAGATGTGCACCACAGAGAAGAAGAAAGTAAACAGAACAAGGAATTCTATGAAATTGCCAAAAGCATGGGGAAAAAGCAGAAAAAATTGCAAAAGTAGAGCATGAAAACAAAAAAAAGGGGGAGTTTAAGGGAATATAAACTCATTAGAGACACAATAACTCTGATAAAATTGAAAAACAAGATGAACTTCCATTCACTCACTTGAAAAATCAAGATCCCAACTGCAACAGCTCCAACCTTGTTATAACAAACTCGAAACCGAAACTCTGCATCTCCAAGAAGCAGTGCGAGGGTAAAAAGTCGGGACTCTGATAAGGACAAGCAAACACAAGATAATCAAACCGCTTACACGGGTAGTTGTCATGATGATGGATGACGAAAACAAAGCAATTGCCGATTGTTGCACGACATCCCCTGGAGAAACGAGACATGTTGGTTGCAAATCCACACTCAAGGTGCCGACGACACCCACAATTTTTCACGAAAAGAAAAGACACGATACACACGGGCTAACAAGGATTAAAGCAGTCATGCACCATGCTGCAAAGAATCGAAGGCAGTTGAGTAATGGGCCGTGATAGGACTCCACCTCCCCTCGTAACTCCCACCAAACCTCCGTTGCACTATGCGATGCGGCCATCCCCACAACGAGGTGTCAGACCAAATACCCTTACAAAGGTATTTGGCCATGCTTTTGCATTCAACACGATGACGGCGTCGACTTCCATGACGGATCCGGTTTGGGATGAAAAGGGTGTGCGCGTTTCGCGCGACACTTTGAAAACAATTTACTCAACCATTGAGACCGGTGCGAATCAGTGAGAAAATTTCGAGAATATGCACACGCGTTGTTATGACGCGCACTGTGATGGTTAGGATTAATAGAAATACCCTCTGACCGAAAAGGTCGAGGGGTTGATTGGGTTAATGCTGTGTCGAGAAGATCTACGACACACACAGAGACTTGGCCTGGTACCTGTCTACCTACCGGTACAAGGCATCTAAGAATGCCAACTTTTGTCTTCTTCGACTCATCCTTGACTACCCGGCACATCTACCTCTACTTGCGTGGTACCAGCCTGACTGCCACTTGAGTGTTTCCACGGTTCTTAAGTGTCGAGGACCTCCTACCCCGCCGCTTGAGTGTTTTCTCATCGTGACCCTCAATGTCACAGCTACAGGTAAGTACCGGCCTTCCTGCCTTCCGATCAACCTAGTGCCTTGAGGGACACACACACACTCAAGCCGACGAGCACTCAGACAGCCACGCAGGCTGACAAGTACACATACAAACTT